TTAAAGAGTTAATAAGGGCAAAATTGAAAAGTAAGTAATTGATGCAATACTGAAATTCGAAAGTGATATATAATATGAAATAAAAACATTTCTTAAAAGTGCCAAATATTACAAAATGATGGAAGTATTGGGTACCTGTGTTTCAAAATGGTGCAAAATTGCTCGATGTATTTCACTAAGTGTAGCACATAGCATTATTATCTAGACATTGAAAAATTTATAACATTAATAGTATTTTTTGTTATTCAATACTTCAACCTTTTTTATTATTGATATGAACAAGATCGATAAAGATATTATATTTAAAGATATTATATTGCATGAATCTAAGATTCTTTTATTCTTAAATTATGAAATTCAGAAAACAAGATTCTATCATATTAGTTTAATTTCTATCTCTAAAATTTAATATTTAATTGGAACTAAGCAAAATTCTGAAAACACAACGAGAGGCCACGTCGTTTGGCGGATGAATGTGGACCATTTATCAATTCACCACAAACAAATATAATCGAATACGCTTTGCCCCCATAGTGATTTCCACCATGATATATATTTCAAGAGTCAAACCCATGACCTCCCATGCATATTCACAGATCTTTACCGCTATGGGTCCGCTAGCTTAACGGGCCGTTGAGTTATCATGTTTTACATTTCTCCATCAATCCCTGTCGGGCCAAAGGATGGGGGCCCTGTGGGTGAGGGATTTCGTCTTTTTTGTGCAAGATCTTTACCGCTACACCAAACATTATTTCGAGATTTAAGGTGGTCCATGGCATACATGCCCACCCCTTAAATCCGCCCCTGGGTTTAAGTGCTATTGCACAATAAATATTTACCTAATGCAAATATGATTGAGTGCGAGTTTCTTTATTATAAAAAAAACTAATATCAATATCGTCCTCCCTGCTTCGTAAGAGAAGAGAAAAATATATTTATAGATATACTATATTGAATGTCGAACATCTCAATCAAAAGCTTAAGCTTTGTATTCGTGTTGTGTAAAAATATAGTTTCTCATTGTTGAGTGTAAATTTTACGCTTAATAAGCTTACTTTATGTGGATCTTTTGTTTAGATTTAATTATATTTGTTCTTTAATTGATTGATTTTGTGTTTTATAGGTGAAAAACAAGAATTAGGTGTCCATGAAGGAAAATAGATCAAAATGAGAGGAAAAAGTTGCAAATAAGGAAATAAATCAAATTGGAAGAAGGCACAGCCTTGGCAGTGTCCACCATTTCGAGCATATATCTCTCATACGAACTCCAAATCAGCTGATTTTGGCGGCATTAGAAAGCTAATTTCAAGGGCTACAATTCTTATTTACACAGAATTCCAAAATTCGGACTCTAACATGGGGGAAGCAAGGACTCTTTTTCAAAAAGCAGGTCGTCGGAAAATTACCAAGGGGGAAAGCACGAATGTAGGAAGGGAGAAAATTTTTGAAACTTTGCAAGTCTCTACACCATAGCCACGGAACAAACGAGAAAAGCAATCGAGGAACGAAGATCAACGAAGACTCAAGGATAGTTTTTCTTATTTAAGTTTCTTTATTACCTAAGTCTGCTTGAGTTAAAGCATATGTGTGCCATTGTCATGAAAACAGAAGTGGCGGAGCATCGGCGGAAAACTCGTAAGGGTATCAGGGAGACCATAGCTCGGTTGAAAGTGAGCAATCATTTTCAAAAACCAATCATCAATAGGTAAAGGTTTCCCCTTCTTTCTCTCGGGTAAAGTAGCAACCCAAGAACATAGATAAGGGGTATCGACGGGGTTCTTAGCAAAGAAGTAATGGCCTTGCCACCCGTCTGTTTTATTGGGTGGCATTAGCACTTTGAAGCCCGGTCGAGCAGAAATCGAGATATGGAAAGGACTGGAGTTTTTCAACACCATGACACTTCGAAACCGAGCCGGCGTAGGAATCACCCCGGACCAAGCATAGAGCATGCGAAACTCAGTCATGATGATTATAGCATGAGGGTGAAATTGGTTAAGGGACACATTGCATATTTGGGCAATCTCGGAAAACCAGGGTGAGATGGGAAAAGATAGGCCAAAGTAAAATTGTTCTGAAAACCAAGTACTAAAGCCCGGGGGAAAATTCAGCGGGCGCTCGTCCTGAGAAGGGAGGACTAGCTCGACGTCAGCGGGAAGACCTATGTCACGAGTTAAGTTAATCAAATCTATCTCAATCAGAGTACTCGGCCCCCACTGATCATCCGGATCTCGCCCCTCGGACAGTGAATGAGAACCACTCCTCACCAAGGACGGAATATCATCCCTAACCCTCTTTTTGGAACCCCTCAAAGGCTTACCCGAAGGGGAGAAAAAAGGTCCTTCCTCTGAAGAGGAAGGAATAGGCATAACTTCATTAGAAGAAATGGTAAAGGCTGGATTCTCATCCCCCTCCCCGGAAGAGTGATCGGAAGGTATTTTTTGACCAAAAGGATCAGGGGAAAAGGAAGACATGTATGTAGGAATGGCAAGAAAAGACAGAATTTGTGAGAAAAAAAAAAGAGAAGAAGTACCTTCGGTGGGAAGAAAGGCGGACACGGGGGAAGCAAGGACTCTTTTTCAAAAAGCAGGTCGTCGGAAAATTACCAAGGGGGAAAGCACGAATGTAGGAAGGGAGAAAATTTTTGAAACTTTGCAGAGAGTGAATATGTATAGGTAGGGAACAAACGAGAAAAGCAATCTTGACCGCTCATATGAACGAGCAAGATTCAAAAAGGGACACCTCGAGTTGAGCAAAAAGGCACTCGTTGAAATCTCGCAGTAATGACCTAGGGAACTCGAACCGCCTACGCCTAATGTCAGAGTCATTAATGAAAAGGAAGCACGCGTATATCCGCCGAAAGTAGAGGAGGCGCAAGTTAGTATCTCGTACTCCATACTTATAAAACGAGAAGGGAGTAGCGAACTCGTATTATATTTATGGAGTAGGGGGGAGTAGTTGATACGGGCCATTCTGACCGAAGCAAATAAGTACGAACTAGGAAGAGCCGACTCACCGCAATGAGAAAAAATACCGAATTATAACCCATGATAGCGATCTAAGATCTCGGAAAACCGTGACTCGCAACCAATGTTGAGAGTAACCGAAGTACCATATCGGAGAAAGAAGAGGTGCACGAACCCAAAACATGCCCAAATTGTAAAGGCCCAAGAAACATAACTTGAGGAAGGAAAAACCCTAAAAAGGAAAATCTTGGAGGCCAGGAAAGAGACATCTATAAATAGAGGGAACCCCTCTCCAAAAAAACGATCATCTTTTGGCATATACTCTTTTGCATAATATTAACAACAATATCTTAAAAGCACATAAAACTGACTTGATCGTCGGAGCTTTCCCGCCGGGATCACCTCCCGGCGTAGCATGTACTCTCATCAGAAGACTCTTTCATGTCTTCAAGAAGCAGGAAGCCCCACGGATCAAATCAGTCATTGACAACTTTGTTATTAACGGAGGGTGGAGTAATCGAGGAAAGCTTTGGAGCTCCTCGAAGAGCTCAGCTCGTTGGAGGTCTCCTGCTCATCGGAAAGCTCAACTCCTAGATCTCAAACTCGTCGGATGTATGCTTCTCGTCGGGGAGATCTCTCTCTTCGGAGGTAAGCTGCTCGTCAGAGGAATATTAAGGATTTTGCATTTTCTTGATTTTGGGAGTCTGAATACTTTTGGGGTGGAAGTTTGGTTGATCGGAACAATCATGGTTCGCCGGAACGACGTCGGAACAGCCGTTCCGGAATGGGAACGGTGCCCTCCGTTCCGGAATCCGTAACCAGAACGGTTTTTTACCGTTACTCATTGGAACGCCGAGAAATCGGTGGGATCGACGAGTTGGAGCCACAGAACGGCCCCGACGCGGCCGGAACGACTCCGGAACAGGAAAAAAAAAATTTAAAAAACAAAACAAATTTGACTAAAAAAATAAGGAAACAAAAACATAAAAGAAAAAGAAGAAATAATATGATGGTGGTGGCCACGTTAGAGAATGGAGATTCCCCTGAATCAGAGGATCTTTGGCCTCACTCTTCAATTATATCTTACACAATTTCAACTCGGTATTCTATTTGGTATTAATATAGCTTGTATTTTTATAATATTCTTTGTAATATTTATTTTTGAAATTGTAATAATATTTTGCATATTATTAAATTGTAATAATATTATTAAAAACATATTTGAAATATATTGTATTTTTTTAACAATTTAATTAAAATATTTCCGTTCCGGCCGCGACGCAGCCACGACGTTACAACGGAACTGAAACGGCAGCGTCCGCGACAATGCATCGTTCTGTTCCGGCGAACCATGGGAACAATGGTGGTGAGATGAAGACTCAAAGCAGCCACTATATTCACTACTACATTTATTGTACTGTTTTACCTCAAAATTATCCAAACCCAAAAAAGAAAAAAAAAAAAAAAAAAAAAAGTGCGAGGTCTACTTTTTTAGTCCTAAACTTTACCCGAATTCCATTTATGGTCTCCATGTTCTAAGATGAACAAATTTTGCTCTCAATTTACTAATTTGTGACATAGTGTGTGGCGCATGTGATCATTGTTCCAAAATCGTGTTTTTTTTTGGAAATTAGATTTATTTTATAAAAGATTTTTTTTTATTAAAGATATTTGTGATATTTTGTGTATAATAAGTATTTAAATTTATAAATAAAGTGATGAAATGAGAAGATTTGAGGGTGAAAATACCAATATTCTAAAGTAATCAATCATAGTGGGATTGGGGATATTTTTCTCAATACGAGGATTTGTGTTATTTCTCTCCCACGGTCATTTTAAAAATTTAGTAATTTTATATTAATAGTATTGATTTTTATTATGATAAATCATATACATTTTAACTAAATATAAATAAGTAATCTGAAATTTATGTTTTTAATCTTTATCTGCAATTTTTATATAATTATAATATTTTATGTTTTTGTATATATTATTTATATTTATATTAAAAAAAAAAAAAACAAATTGAAAAGCTGTTTAGCCCGGGCTGTTTCGCTCGTAAATAACTAAAAAAACACAGTTATAAAACCAATTTAACAGAAACCGGGATTCTAACAACATGCTTCGTCGAAACCCAGGAAATGGAACCTTGGACATAAGAACCGTTTGTAGTAAACTCCGTTCTGCTAAAGTAAACCTCGTACGTGAGCTGCTGCTTCACCTCGGTGAAGCTAAGTACTGTAGGCTCCACAAATATACTAACCCCCGGAAAACATTCTATCTTTGCATAGTAAGTCGATTCTGCCTCTCCAACGTTCGTCACTGTCCGTGAATATGCGTAGCCAATATCTTGTCCAAGAACAACGGAAAACGAGGGATAATTCAGCTGTGCTTCCGGCACACCCGAGTACTCGGATTTACTACTGCAGTCAATCTTTCGGTTCACTATGGCCGCAACTTGTCGCTCTGTGTAGAGAAAACATAAGTAGGAAATATAATCGCGGGCGGAAATATCGTAAACGAGGCCCGGATTCAACGCCGCGGGCGGGTTCACGTGTCCTGCCCCAACGGCAAACACGTCGGCGGGCTGATGCCGTTGGTCAAGAATCGGAATATTGCCGAGGTTTGTCTGAGTGCTGGACGTCATTATGGCCGACTTGACCATCGCAGGGGACCAATCGGGATGTGCGCTCTTTACAAGTGCCGCGACCCCACTCAGGTGCGGGCACGACATTGAAGTGCCTGAAACCATGTTGTAAGTCGCCGTCTTTTCTTTGATGTTGTTGTCGATGGATACAGGCCAAGCCGCGAGAATGTTGGCGCCGGGGCCTATAATGTCGGGTTTAATAATTCCAGGGCTTACCAAATTGGGGCCTCTAGAGGAGAACGGTGTAACCATTGGAGCAGTTTTGTCTCCTATAACTGTGCCTCCGAACAGGATAGCTGAAGTAGGCGTCGAAGAATTAGCGTCTTCTATGTATGCTTTGATCTTTAGGGCGGCCTCGTAATTGACGAGCGTTGCAGGGAGTACGTGCGGTATGGGTTCGGTGTAATAGTCGTCGGTCTCGTCGTTTATCCCAATCATGGCGGCACCACCGGCATCCTTCACGTCTTGTCCATTATTGAACGTGCCAATCTCACACAAGACTACTTTCCCCTTCACGCCGATTTCGCCCAACAATTCGGACCCGCACAGCGCACCGTACACGAGGGGCAACAATTCTTCGGAGGAGCTGCCGCCTTCTTCCGGCTGGTAAAATGATTCGCCTTCGTAAGCCTCTCCGTTTCCGAGCAGTGCGGTTGCTTTTATCTTCCTGTCGGTAGTGCTGGCACCAACAGTGAGAATCCACGGCGCGGTGTTGTACAACGACGAATGGCTAGGGCCGTCGTTTCCAGTCGAGCAGGTGACGAAAATGCCCCTCTTAACGGCGCTGAATGCTCCTATAGCAACGACGTCTTCGTGGAACGGGCTAGTATGAGATACACTATCTCCTGCGAGAGAGAGTGAAAGCACGTCGACTCCGTCCTCGATAGCCGCATCCATTCCTGCCAATAAGTCACTGTCGAAGAGGACATCGGTCCCATTTTCGTGCGAACCAACTTTGTAGATCGCAAGGTGGGCGAGGGGGGCGATGCCGGAAGCCGTCCCGTTGGCCTGGCCGAACACGTTAGCGCCGGAGACGAAGTTTCCGGCAGCCGTGCTGGCCGTGTGGGTCCCGTGCCCAAAGTTGTCGATAGGCGGGCCTGGGAAATAGCTGGCGAAATTTCTCGCACCGATGAGCTTATTATTACACGATAGAGTTCCGCTCAATTCGCATTTTCCTTTCCATTTGGGAGGCGGGGGTGGCATTCCTTGGTCGTTGAAAGAGGGGTGGCCCGGTGTGATTCCGGTGTCTATCACACCGATAATCACACCATTGCCGTAGTTTGATGCCGGCCATGCTCCGACACCCTGGTGCAACCCCAAGAAGTTTGGACTGTGGGTTGTGTGTAGTTGGTACTTCTTATGCGGCCTAGCGTGCATGAATCCCGGTTTCTTCTCCATTTCTTTCACCTCTTCTGGCGATAATTTCGCTGCGAATCCTGTGATCACATTGCGGTACATGTGAACTATGCGAGACGAGGGCGTGTAATGATTATCCGAATCCGATGTGGCGGCTTCTGATGATGGCGGCAGGAATGAGTGGTACCATGTTTCGAGATTTGATTGTCCTGAAAATCCGTCTTCTTCGGTCGGCGGCAAGTCGACATGGACAATGTAAGTTTGGTAGCTGGTATTTGAAGAAGAAGCTGAATGGAAAGTGAAGATGAAAATGGCTGCAAGAAGGAACATGGTAGCCATTGTTTTAAGCTTGCTTCTCTATGTTTGAATGATGGTTATTGTATACATCCTTGACTACTTATAGAGTGTATCAAATGTATAGATACATAGCCTCATGAGAAACAGACAACATATTTTAATTTGGCTTGATCGATCGGCTGATTATTGGTACAAATTTAAATGCAACACGCCATCTCTGAAATTATTATTGTAAACAAATTTCTTAATCCGAACCAAATTATTATTGTAAATTTGTTAATGTAATGTTCATGCACTGATTAAAATAGCAGTCTGATCATTTATATTTTTTTTGTAATAAATTACAAAATGCCACCTCCTAAATTATTATAACCAAAATAGCAATCTCATCATTTATATATTTTTTTGTAATAAAACACAAAATGCCATCTCAATATTATTGTAAACAAATTAGCATGAAATTATTATAAGGTAGAACTTCCTTCTCCAATCTCACTAAATAACACAAATTCCCTATATTACAAGAGTTTTAATTTGTAAATGGATTGGCTGGTTCTTAGGAATAGGAGGATTTCAGTCATCCCGTGAACGAATATTCCATGGTTATTAATTTAGTTCAACCTCTTTTTTTATAAATATATATATGTAACCATGGCATACTCTTAACTCTAATAAATACGTAAATAAAAATAAAAATATTGGAAATATAAACGCATATTTTGCGTTCCCTTCCCTATTCGAATATTCTAGAGAAATCGATGCGAAGATGATATTTTGGTAATTCAATTGTAGGAATTTCTCCCAAGCAAGGTCTGAAATAAATGGCGACGAATGTTAAACAAAGGGGTATTTTTGCAATATAAATATTCAAGGACTGTCACCAAATTGATAATATATGGGTGTCCTGATCTAATACAAAAACTTTAAAATATAAGTTCTGGTCCCCAATTTTTTTTGTAATTTGACCCTACAATTTTTAATTTTTCACATGTAAATTTATATATTTTTTACTTTTCCAAATAATACGTATAAATATTACATTTTTTATTAATTACTCAAAACATATTCTATGGCGATGTCCCCGAACCCTCAAGAATTATAACTTTTCTCACCGTTATACTATTTCATAAATCACCCCCCAACACACACACTTCAAATAAATTAGTGATATGATTTAGCATTATGTTAATGCATGTCGATTTTCTTTTTTGCATAAATCCCTCTTATGTTGCAAAAACCATGCACCTAATCCTCCTATGCTACAAAAATCTTGCACAAAATCTCTTCATTAGTTAACGGTATATTTTGACGGAAATGGGATTTGATGCAAGGTAAAATGAAACACCGGGCGATTCCAAGCAATAAAACAAAAACAAGGGGATTATTTGCATGTTTTGCTTCATGCGGAGGGGGGGGGGGTTTATGATATTTCGAATAGACATAAATAACAATTGTTCCACTGAAATCATTAATTATCCATACAAAGTGCAGCATTTGCTAGAATACACAACCTAGATGCAATAGGCGTTAAAAACCACTCAGGTTAAATTAGCGACACGGCTTGTGGAAATCCTCTACCTCCAGGCTTCTCATTCAGTCCTCAGAACACTATTTACCTATCTACAACAAATGGTT